GGGGGGATGCCGGGGCCGGGTGGGATGTGTGGAGGATGAGTGTGCAGCGTGGGACGTGAGGGGGATCTGTGTGCAGCGTGGGACGTGAGGGGGGTAAGCGTGCAGTCTGGAATGTGAGGAGGATGAGTGTGCAGCTGGGGACGTGAGGAGGTGAGCGTGCAGTGTGAGATGTGAGGATGTTGGACGTGTAGTGTGGAACATCTGGTGGGTGGAAGAGTAATTCTGAGAAAGACATGTCACTTGGACCCCAGTTTAATACCCACCAGACACCGTGCCTGTGGCCTCGACCTACTATGGGCCACTGGGAAGCACCATATGCGTTGAGGGCTATCCCAGAGAGCAGAGGAGGTCACTGTCCTGGGAGAAAACAGAAGGGTTACAGAGGGAGCTTTGGGCAGAAGAAAACAGAGAATGATGGACAGGAAGGCAGGCCAAAGAAAAGGGGGTAGGGGGACGTCCTGGTCACTCAGCAGCAGAGTGGATGCCCAATGGGGAAGTTGTGTTAAGTTCACTTGATCTGGACCTGGAAGTCCCTGGTGACCTTTGAGGGGAGCAATCTCAGTGAAGTGTCATTGAGTCAGTGGCAAGTACTCTGGAACAGGGGAAAATCCATAAAGCACAGATGTGCATTCTGAGTTTAGTGGTAAAAGGAAGGAGGAGATCTTTAATACCCATAGAAGATAAACAATGAATGTTCAGTTGGGCATGGTGACTCAAGCCTGTAATCCTAGTACTTTGGGAGGTGAAGATGAGAGGCTGGCCTGAGCTCAGGTATTCGAGGCCAGCCTGAGCAACATGGCTAGACCTCGTCTCTACAATAAATCAAAAAGAAAATTAGTTGGGCATGGTGGTGCATGCCTGTGGTTCTAGCTACTTGGAAGGCTGATGCGGAAGGATCACCTGAGCCAAGCAGGTCAAGGCTGCAGTGGCCGTGAGTGGGCCACTGCACTCCAGCCTGGCTGACAGAATGAGACTCCATCTTAAAAAAAAAAAAGAATGCTCGCTTTAGGTCAGGTGTTGTTGAGTCTAGTTATGCATACAGGTGGAACAATCTATGGTGGTGAGGTCAACTACACTCCTAAGAAGATCTCTGACACATTTAGGTAACAGGAAATCAAACATTACAGCATCTACACAAGAGTGTCATTGACAGGTGTCAGTCCGCTACATGCACAACCTATTTTCCAGCCTGCTGCAGTTTTATTTAATAATTTACTTTTTTTTTCAAAAGCACAATTTTTAATGCATTTTATTAAAAATCCTTGGACCCTTGATGCCATACCTGGCTCTCCATTAGGACCAGGGGGTCCTATGTCACCAGAATCTCCTTTCTCACCTGAAAATGAAAAATAAGGTCAAAGTCATCAAGCACATGTGGATATGTTCCAAGAGTTCAAAAATATCATGGTTTAAAATGTTATTTCTCTTATGTATAAAGTCCTGGGATTTCTCCCAGATACTCTTTGTGATGTGAAGTATAGGAGCTCTATTTTATAGGTAACTCATTCTTCAGGCTCTATTTATGTGATATGGACCATATATATATCATGGATTGTTACAGATTATCAGATGGTCATTCTTCACATCAAGTCTGGAAAATCCAGGTTATTCGATCAGATATCCCGCTGATGGCAGCTCCATGCATGTCCCTTATGACAGCAGGAAAATTTAGACAGAGCAGGGCGGAATCCAGTAGAGCTTGGGTGGAATTTAGAGATAAGCTAATCCCAAAAGAGCAAACTGGTTATAATCTCATGATGCAAAGTTCTTCTTGGCTAGCATGGTGCCCTAGAAAAGTTCAGACGCCAATCTCCCACTAGATAGGACAAGCCACCCAACCACTCTGCCCTCTCAAGTTTCATCAACTTCCTTCAACGAGGAGATTCAAAAAAATTATGTCAGCAAAGCTTTCCAGCTACTCTAAAATTAAACAATGAGGATTTATATTAAGTCACATGAGTATTTCTAAGGCATTCTCTTTCTTCTCAATGAGAGAGGCTACATGTCTCTGAGAAGGAGCAGCAACCCCCATGCGTGTAGATTCTGATTCTATTCACGTAAAGAGGGAAAAAGCTTGGCAGTCTCCATCCGACTGATTCCTTTGCATTCTTTTATCAACACCAGCGGCTTGAAAATAAAAATGCAACTTGGCAAGAACGCAGGATGACAATCTCAGGGACAAAGCAAATCAAATAAGCAAAGTCAAATGAGGGTGGTTTTGACAAGTCGTCTCTTAGTGAGATGCTGAAATTTGTCCAGAGCTCATACTGGTATATTAAAAGTACACACATGCCTGCTTGGATGCCAGTACACAGTACCCCAGTATTCACAGTAACCAGCAGGCAGAAAGAACCCCAGTGTTCACCGGCAGGTGAATGGATAAACATATCCATACAGTACAATATCATTTAGCCTTAAAAAGGGAGTTCTGACAGATGCTACAACATAGATGAAATTTGCAAACATTTTACTGAGCAAAATAAGCCAGTCACCAAAAGACAAATATTGCTATGATTCCACTTATGCAAAATGCCTAGAATAGGTAAATTCATAGAGATAGAAAGCAGATTAGAGGTGACCAGGAGCTGGGGGAGGGAAACTGGGGAGCTACTGCTGAGTGGACACAGTGTTTCTCTGTGTTGTGATGACAGAGATTTGGAATGGATGGTGGTAATGGCTGTGCAACATTGCAAAGGTACTTAATGCCATTAAAAAACGGTACACTTAAAATAGTAAAAATGATAAGCTTTATGTTATAAATATTTTACCATGACTTTAAGTTTTTTAAAGCTTACCTATCCCTCATGACACTACGCCTGTCTGTGTGTTCTTTCCTGAATCGGCCATCACAGGGCGGCTGTTTCCCACAGGTTTTCCAGAAGAGACACCCCTGAGCTGGTCACCCACCCCATCACTCTCCTGGTCAAGACCCCTTTCTTCCTGGGACAGGCTGTGGCTAGGGGCGGCCTGTGGCTGTAGATCAGAACAAACCATCCAAACCCCCTCACAGCTCAAACCCCAGACTGTGGCCTCAAGGTGCGTGGGTTAACTGGCTCTGAGGCAGATGAAGGAGGTGCAAGGGCCAGCACCAGAATGGGGCAGACAGCCGGGCTCGGTGGCTCAGCCTGTAATCCCATGCCTTGGGAGGCTGAGGTGAGTGAATTGCCTGAGCCCGCGGGTTCGAGACCCGCCTGGGCAACTTGGCGAGACCTCATCTCTACAATAAATCAAAAAGCCGGGCATAGCCGGGCTCGGTGGCTCAGCCTGTAATCCCGCGCCTTTGGGAGGCTGAGGTGAGTGGATTGCCTGAGCCCGCGGGTTCGAGACCTGCCTGGGCAGCGAGACCTCATCTCTACAATAAATCAAAAAAAAAAAAAAAATCAGCCAGGCGTGGTAGCGCATGTCTGTAATTCCGGCTACTCGGAAGGCTGAGGCAGAAGGATCGCCGGAACCCAGCAGGCGAGGCTGCGGTGGCCGGGAGCGACCACTGCACTCCAGTCTGGGCGACCGAGTGAGACTCCAACTCAAAAAAAAAAAGCCGGGCATGGTAGCGCGCACCTGTCGTTCCAGCTACTTGGAAGGCTGAGGCGGAAGGATCGCCGGAGCCCATCAGGTCGAGGCTGCTGTGGCCGGGAGCAGCCACTGGAATCTTACTCCAGTCTGGGCGACAGAGTAAGACTTTAACTCAAAAAAAAAAAAAAAAAAGGAAAAGAAAAAGAAAAAGAATGGGGCAGACCACAGCCAGATGTCCTCCCTGTGGCTGGTTCTCAGGGCACCTCTGCCCCCGCCACTGACTGCACAGCTGTTTCCTCATTGCTGGCACCTTGGTAGGAACTGGAGGGAGACTTCCATGAGGTCACACACGGGGAGCTCAGGGACTGCCAGCTCCGTGCTGCTCCCACTCTGCCCTCCAGAGCCCAGCACAGGCGTGGAACAAGCCAGGCACTCAGAAAATGTCTGGTGACTGATGGCAGGGGAAGGGGCACAAGAACAGTGTGCTTCCGAGCTGGCCTCAGTTTCCCATGGAAATGATAATACCTACCCACCTCACCAAGGTTGTGCGAGTCAAATGCAGGAGCAGAGCTGGCACCATTTGAATCCATGGGTGTTATCTAAGCCCAGGTGTTGTCAGTTTCACACCTGCTGCTGCCATCCTGTGTCCTGTTTTCACTGAGAATCATCTCGTCATCTTAAAAAGCCTAAAAGACCCAAGCTGGGGGTGAACAGACACAGTGCTTCCTGAGCATGTTCCATCAGTGACTTCAGTGAGGCTTTAAGTAGCTGGGCACAGTTACTCACACCTGTAATCGCAGTACTTTGGGAGGCCAAGGAGAGAGGATCACTTGAATCCAGGAGTTTGAGACCAGCCTGAGCAACATAGCGAGACCTCACCTCTATAAAAAAGATTTTAAAAATAGCCAGGCTTGGTGGCTCAGCCTGTAATCCTGTGATTTGGGAGGCTGAGGTGAGTGGATTGCCTGAGCCTGCGGGGTCAAGACCCACCTGGGCAACTTGGCGAGACCTCATCTCTAAAATAAACCAAAAGATTAGCTGGGCATGGTAGCACACGCTTGTAGTTCCAGCTACTTGGAAAGCTGAGGCGGAAGGATCGCCGGAGCCCAGCAGGTCGAGGCTGGGCTCCACTCCCGGCCACTGCACTTTAGTCTGAGTGACAGAGTGAGACTCCGACTCAAAAAATAAAAAAAATTTTTAAAGATTTTTTAAAATGTGCTGAGTGTGGTGACACATGCCCGTAGTCCCAGCTACTCAGGAGGCTGAGGTGGAAGGATTGCTTGACCCCAGGAGTTGGAGGCTATGGTAAGCTGTGACTGTGCCACTGTACTCCAGTCTGGGCAACAGAGTGAGACACCAACACACACAAAAAATGAGGCTCTAAGTGTTATCAAACTTGTTAAAGAAGTTGTAGCTGGAAAGCCCAAGCACACTAGCTCCAGACCCTCCATCCTGGAGTGCTATGTAAATCCTGCAGAGTGGGGAGCACGTCCTCCCACCCAGTGGGCACAGAGCCAGCAATGAACTCTGATCACTCCCACAATGTCAGCATTGTGACAGATTTATCATGTATAAAGTACACAAAAATAAGTAAGAACGCCAGGAGAGACGGCTCAGAGCGTCCATATGTTGTGAGCCTGGGAGGAAATATGAGGCAAGAATTGCATCACAAATACCTTTCGAGCCAATGGGACCAATTTTTCCATGGCGACCCACACTGCCTTTCTGTCCTTTGTCCCCCATGTCTCCTGTAGAAAACAATAAGATCAAAGTTGGTTGATGCACAGGCGATGCATAGCCTCCTTTAGCACACGCACACACGTGACCCGAGAGACCTCCTTTCTAACATCACACACAAACATAAGGAGACCAAAAAAACGACAGGTCTTCATCTCTTCAAGGTCATGGGTGTAACTGTCATGGACAGTTATGCACAGCTCACCTGTTGATATTGTTTCCAAAGGAAATGGCACTTGCCCTAAAAATCTACAACTACAGGACAGAGGAGGCCAAATGACACGTCCCTAAGTCCTGAATGCAACCAAGATACATCCCACTCCTTAAGGAATGGAGAGTTTGTCCAGCAAAGCAGTGCCTCCTGGCTCTTATTCTTGCACCTGAACCCAACCAGCATCCAAAACTCTCTGTAAACGTGCGTAAGTGGTGCTGTCAGGAACGTGGGTGGGTAAAGCCATTGGTGTGTTCAGGTGACCTTGAGCTGAGAGAGGGAGCCAAGGACGGTCTGAGAGTGCCTCACTAGATGCCTCCTAATTTGACTGGTTCTACAGCAAAATGCCTGAGTCCTCGTGACCTGCCAGCACCTGTCCCCCAAGCCTGGGTGTGCTGAGTAGTGGTGTGGGATCTCTGACCCTGTCTACCCCACCCCTTCTACTCTAATTCACGGCAAGAGGGGTACCGTGACCCCCACAGGACTATCTCTCAGATCACTGGACCAAGAGTGAAGAATGCTGTCATCACTCAGTCCCAGACCAAATTAAGCCAGAGGGTAGAATTTCTCAGTGCTAAGTTTTCTCCCACAGAGTGCTCTTAAGTCCTTGGCAACTGCTTCTGTCTATCTGCTGGTGATTACCAATGACCACAAACCAAGCCAATGAACAGCAAACACGTACACAGAGAAAAACTAGGAAAGAAACAAGACAATCAGATTTAATTTAATAATCTTTTTCATGAACATGTTTACATGTGATTAGGAGTTCATGATTATTTATAGACCACATTGTTGCAGAAACTAAAAGAAATTCGGTGCAGGTGACTCTGCAAGAGAAGGGGTGGTGGGAAGCACTTGATATTGCATACAGATCATGCTCTGTCCTGCTGTGACACCAACTCCGCCCTTAGAACTGAGGACTTTCCTGCCAGGAACTCCTAGTCTTGTTTTGTTAAGTAGATGCAATGTCCTCTAAAATCAGAGCAGAAACCATAGGACAGAACATCGTCTTGAGGAGTGAGTTATGGCTATGGAACACACACACACACACACACACACACACACACCCCTGCTGTCCTGCAGAAATGGCTTGCATTCGCATAAAAATGAAGTATTGGTTTACAAAGCACATTCATGTGCATTTGGCTATAGAAACGACTCATCTGGCCTGGCACAGTGGCTTGTACCTATAATCCCAGCACTTTTGGAGGCCGAGGCAAAAGGATCGCTTGAGCCCAGGAGTTCAAGACCAACCTGGGCAATATGGCAAAACCTTGTGTCTACAAAAACTCAAAAAGTTAGCCAGGCATGGGGGGGGGTGAAAGGATCGCCTGAACCTAGGAGGTCGAAAAGAAAAAAAGACTCATCACACAGCGTGGCACAGCCAGGACAAGAGCGGTGCTCTGTGGCTCTGAAGCCCAGGGCTGCTCCCCTGGTGCTGGCGCTGGGAGCCACATACAGCCTGGGGGAGAACGGGGAAGACAGGGGAAGAAGATCCTGATGGCCAAGCCTCTGGACCCCACCCCGCCAGGATGGAGGTAGATCCCGCACGAGGCGCTGTGTGATGCATGCTGCTCTGGGTGCTGGCTTAAGAGGGCAGAGCTCAGTCTGCTGGGGAAGTTGGGAAAGCCGTCAGACAATTGCAGCACACATAAAATAATGATCAAAAGGCACCGAGGATGCCCCCAGGGAGGGGTCCTAACAAGGCCTAGGGGATGAGGAAAGCCTCAGGAGGCTGTTGTGTACCCATCGAGTGGTGGGAGCTATTGGAGGATCACGAAGATTCGCGTTTAGGAGGCATCTGGTGACACTTGTGGAAGAGTCTGGAAGGAACGAAGCTTGAAGCCAGCCAGGCGGAGCAGGCTGTGATGAGGATGGGTCACCGTGAGTGGAGTCTGGGAGGATAAGAAGCACTGTCCAGGTTGGAGAGGCACTTGGAAGGCAGTGCTGGCAAAGCCTTGAGAACGACCAAATGTGAGGCTTGGGTGTGCAGGCGGTGGGTGGTGAGCCCTCCCCAAGGAGGGAGAGCAGGAGGAGGGACAGGGAGGTGCCGGGCTCCATCTGAGACGTACTGAAGCAGGGATGCCCGTGCTGCAGGCAGGGGTGCGACAGGCATGTGAAACGGGCTCATCAGTGCATGATAGCAACTGGAGACAGGGGCCAGGAGAACGTCACCCAGACAGAAGGTGCCACCCCGAGGGACACGCATGAGGAAAAGCTCAGGGCAGTGGAGGGGAGGCAGAGGACACAGCGAGACAGCAAGTGGCACTGCCACCCTCAGAGCACCCAGTCAGGAGAGAGCTACAAGATACAGGCAGGGCCAGGACCCCTGGGCTGGCAACATGGAGGTCTCACTGGGTCGGAGGGACAGGCCCCCAGTGAGTTGAAGGTGCGGAGGCCCCAGAGCAAGACAGCTCCCCCACGATCCTGCAGTGACGCCTGTCGCTCACTGTCGCGCCCTTGATGTCACAGGGCCAGCCCTGCCCCTCTCTGGGTCACCTTCCACAGCAGCCTGCCTGTCCAGCATCTGCCAAAATCACCTCTCTACTCTTCCCGACAACAGGTTTGATGGCACCTAATCTTTCTGTTTTGCATCACTACACTCTAATTCAACCTGATTATTTTCCTTAACAGTGAAATGTCAGCACGATGAAACAGAAAGACAAAAACAAATGGTTTTCCGTCAACCAACCAACCAATAGCATGTGCCCTATTAGTAACCCTGCATCAGAAAATGAAATAGTGCTAAAAACCATTGCTAAGCAGTGGCTTGTAGTGAAGTATGCCAGAAATTCACTGTAAGGGTGGAAATGTGAAATTCTGTCAGGTTATCCTAGAATATGATTAAGAGGCTCTAGCTGACTGCTGGGGGGGGAAGCGAACCAGATATTCAGCTCTCAGGACTGGAAGGAACTTGAAAGCTGCCCCCCTGCTGTGTCCCTAGCCAGCCCGGTTTGCACCCCAGAGAGATGCAAAACTAGTTTAATCCACCTTCCACAAAACCGTCCTCCAAATATTTTTAAAATGTTCTCTATCTGAAATCTTCCCATCACCCATTCCCTTCCCAACCCTGGCTGCCTGTCCCTCTGGACATACGCTAGTGTGTCTTTGTTCCTCTGATGGACAGCCACAGCCACCCACACTGAGTGCCTACGGATGAACTGTCCACCATCACCTTCTACTATGAACTGAATTGCGGCCCCCAACTCATATATTGAACCCCAACCCCAAGGTGATGGTATTTGGAGACAGCACCTTTGGGAGGCAATTGGAGTTGGGTGAGGCCTGAGGGTGGGCCCCCATTAATGTGGTCTGAAGCTCCAAGATGAGCATGGTATTCTGGCTAAGCCTCCCCACAAAGAGGGCTGTACAGAAAAGCTCTGAAGCACATATCCGCTGTACTGTGCTGCCCCCAAGACCTGTCCGCCTGCCACTGGAGACAGACTTCCTCAAACCTTTTTCCAAAAAATGAACTCTCCTGTGCCCAGCTCTCCAACATGCCCCTCCTGAGGTCCCGTACTGGCCATCAGCAATGGAACCTCAGGGCTGCACTGAGGGGTGGATAAACACCAGGACCACCTCACTGTTTTTTGCTTTTCTTATTTTCCACCTTCTAAGTCTTGAGGTGCTTCTGCTCTTTTCCATACTGTTCCCTCACCGACTATCTGTGGTCCTCTGTGACACCCTTGCAAGGAGGTTCAAACGTGCCAGATCAGCGTGAACACACGTTCACGTGGCACCTTCATGAGTCAATGAGTGTCCAGAGCAGGAGGGAATCTCAGAGACCATCCAATTGAATCATGTCTTCCAGAAGGAAGGCAGAAGCCCAAGAGACCTAGGGATTTGCCCCCAGTTCATGCAGCTTGTCCAGGATAGAGCTGGGGCCCAGGGCTGGCTTGTCACCCCCGCCCGAGATCCTCCACTGCACCGCACTGCCCCTGGCACCTATAAGAATAAGCTGAGTGGATCAATTCAAACACCCGAGAGCCCCACTGAGTGCCCGCTTGGAGAGGGCAGCATCGCCAGAGTTCAGAAAGTGAAATCCAAAGTTCCTGCCCTGGAAACGTTACCTCCCCATTAAAAAGTCCAAATGCTACAGAGTAGTCTGAAGACTACTTCATGGAGGCAGACTGATTTGAGTGTAAACTCTCCACTTGAATGAAAAGTCGATTGTTTGCTCAGAAGATTTCACCTGGAAAAAATGAGGAGGGAGTGATGGGTCTCCTGCCCACCTGGAGGTTATTTCTTCTTGAGATCCCTGAGAGATGTGAGGTTGTTCAAGGACAGAGGTAGGGAAGAAGCCACGTTGCAGACCCCACCTTCCCGTCGTGCCGCCCTGATAGCTCCTCTCGGGAGAAGGTCAGGCCCCAAGCCAGTAAGTAGACAAGGGGGTGATGAGACTGTGTTTGCAAGGGAGGTGGGTGCCTTCACACCTTAGCAGAATGATTAATGAATGATTTATTCCATCAGCTGAAGGGTTCAATAAGAGTCTAGCACACACCCTGCTGTTGTAAATAAGTTATAACCTGTGAATGACTTAAGAGCATTTGGCTTTTGGCCCAACTCTAAATCACACAGCCAAACCTCAACGTGAATTCAAGGTCATTGCTGACACTTGGCGCCTGTTGCCAGCAGATACTGAGCTCAGTTCTTGCCCTTGGAAAAATGTGGGACCTGGTCCCTGCTGTAGGGGGTTCTGAGAAACCTGGTGAAAATATAGAAAATCGGATGCAATGTGGGTCAGTCAACAGGGCGTGCTGGAGACACACACTGAGCTCCTGGGAAAAGCAAACCCTGCCG